TAAATTCTGGCTAGGATGTAGGTAATATGGGACCCTCCCACATTCTTGGTGGGACTGTAAAATGGTGTAACCACTGTGGAAAACAGTATGGTGATTTCTCAAAAAGCTGGAAATATAAGTACTGTATGATCCAGCATCCCTCTACTTGGTATATATCTCAAGAATAAGAGCCGCAGTATTCATAGTGTTCACAAAAGAGCACTGTCCACAATAGCAGAAATATGGAGACAGCCTAAATGATCATCAACAGAAGAATGGTTATACAAACTTTGGTACATACACACAATGGAATACTATGCAATAGTAAAATTAATGATGAATCTGCAAAACACCTCATAAAATGGAGGACAGTGTGCTTAGTGAAATTAGTTGATCACAAAATGCAAATATTGTATGAGACCACTGTTTTAAAAAGTTAAGAAAAGGTTTTCTTGATAAAAGAAACATTCTATGATGACTACCAGGGGTGGGAGGGGAGAAAAACTTATTCATGGACTAGACGGTAGACACATGTTAACTTGGGTGATGGGGAAGGCAACATACAACAAGAGGAAATTTTGCAGAGGAAAGATAAAGGTAGTTAGTGAAAGACATGGGAAGGAATGCAAGCTTTAAAGGGAATAGAGGTAAGTGCTGCTAACTGATGGTACATGGATGGTGGGGATTGCAATCAGTGTGATGAAATGATTTGTTGAATGTAAAACTGATGATCTGCTCTATAATCCTTTGCTCAATTCACAGTAAAAAGTTAACTACAAAAACAAAAATAACTGTGGACAAGTGAATCTAATGCCATTAGAAATTTGATTAGAACTTGTTTTTGTGACTTGGTTCTTTTCCCTAAGGGCTAAGCATAGTAAACATATCTAGTTCTATCAAATTTATATAGGTTACTTACCCTCATCACTGGCTTCCAGAACTTCCATATTTCCAGAAACATCACTTAGTGATTGAGCCATAGTAGGATCACTAAAATAAAATACAGAGTGAAAAAGCAAAGGATCATCAGTTGATGTCCAATGTAAGTCATAATAATTTCACCCTAGCTTCTCTTTACCACCCAAGTTAGAGTGTTAAACTATTTAAGAAAAGATATACAAAGGAAATAGTCATTAGAGAGAATAATCCTTTCATTTTTTTAAAGACAATGATTCCATTTACACAAAATGTCCAGAACAGGCAAATGCCTAGATACAGAAAGTAGATAAGTGTTTGCTTAGGGCATGGAGATGGGGAAGCTGGAGGTTATAGCTAAAGGGCATGGTATTTCTTTGTGAGATGATGAAAATCTATAATTGATTGTGGTGATGGCTACACAATTCTGTGAATGTACTTGTTGTTAGGAGCTGTCCAGTTAGCACCAACTCATAACGACTCTATAAGTACTTGTATAGCAAGAGTGGAATTTTGCCTGGTCCTACTCCCTCACTTGTCTGTCAGCTTGTCATACTGTAGTGGTTTGCATGTTGCTGTAATTCTGGAAGCTATGTCACGGGTATTTTAAATATCATCAGGGTCACCCAAAGTGGACAGGTTTCAGCTGAGCTTCCAGACAAAGATAGACTAGGAAAAAGAAGAGACAGACTACTTCCGAATATTTAGTCACTGAAAACCTTATGAATAGCAGTGAAACACTGTCAGCACCAAATTTTGAATATTGAAACATGATGAAGAGTACCAGAATATTGTCAGATATAGTGCCAGATGATGAATGAGCCCCTCAGGTTGGAAAGTGCTCAAAATACAACTGGGGAAGCACTGCTTCCTCAATGTAGTGTTGACTGTGATGACACGAATGGAGTAAAGCCTTCAGGACCTTCATTTTCTGATGGGGCACAACTCAAAATGAAGAGAAACAACTATAAACATCCATTAATAATTGGAACATGGAATATACAAAATATGAATCTTGGAAAATTGGAAATTGTCAAAAATGAAATGGAATGCATAAAAATCAATATCCTAGGCATTGTTGTTGTTGTTAGGTGCCATCAAGTCGGTACCGAATCATAGCGACCTTGTGCATAGCGAACGAAACACTGCCCAATCCTGGGCCAACCTCACTATGGTTGCCACGCTTGAGTCCATCGATGCTGCCACTTGGCCAATCCATCTCCTTGGGGGTCTTCCTCTTTTCCTCTGACCCTCCACCTCACCAAACATGATATCCTTCTCCAATATGTCCAAAATATGAGAGATGAAGTTTGATCATCTTGGCCACTAAGGAGCACTCTGGCTGTATTTCTTCCAAAACGGATCTATTGGTTCTTTTGGCA